GCATCAATTGTTGAACAAGGCAGCTAACGCTAAAGACAAAATGGACAAAGTATACACTGAAGCGTTGTTCAATGAGATATGGAAGATGTTGAAGGAAGACTAAGAAAATCACATGAGAATTTGATAATGAGAGGCTACGGAACGAAAGAAAAGCGTTCAAATGGTGAAACGAGATTGATGTCTAAAACAACGGATTCGGAGTGCTGCAAAACACCCTCGGGGAGTAAGAATTATTGATTGTAATCATATGAAGCGATCTTCATAAAGTTCTACAACAGCATCTTCGGAGGTGGGCATGAATCGAAACATGCTATTGGTTACCCTATTGGTAGCCCCCAAAGTTTTCTGCAGCGAAGTTCAGTGGACTAACAGAAACATTAAAAATGACAAATGTCAAGTCAAAGACGATATAAGAACAGAACACTTTAAAATAGCAAGAACAATCCTGTTTAAAGCGCTTGACAAATATTTTACGGAATGCGTCAGTCAAAACAAGACGCGTGAAGAGTGAAAAATATTAGACTGAAGAAGGATTCTTCTCATCAGGAAAGTCGATTCTGAAAATCTAATCAACAATGGACCGAACTATACTTTGATCGCATATCTACGAAGTCTTCACAAGCATCATTTTCAACCGTATTTATTAAGACCTAGAATTAGTTAAAGTCGGAACAAGCCAGTTTTCGTTCAGAGATTTTGTCGTCCCCATCCCCACTGTATACCTGATTTGCGAATGGTTTAACGATTTATAAAAAGCCTTCAGTTTGGTACACTTCAGTTGCTCTGATCACTGCCGTATGTCCGCAATGTAGTCTAGTGAAAAGCCGCTATCTTAATCGTATGTTTGCAACTACGTTAGAAAAAATAGAATATTCAATATATATTGACCCCGGACTAATCATGTGAGAAGCGGATTTACTGTCGGCGACTTTCTGACAGCCGGGCGCATAACGGCAGATTTGCAACTGGTTTCCAAGTACTGTTCTCCTTGGCCTACAAGAGTACTTGATTAAAACCCGGTGCACGATGTAGTCTGTTAATAAAAAATGAAATAAAAAATAAACCACCTAATCAAACTTACGTTTGCAAGTACTTCAAGCATGCTGTGATGCCGCAGACCATGCGCCTCTTGTCGAAGGCTTCCTTGAGTTCTTCGGCAAAATTGTCGACGACGTCGTTCGGCTTTGAGCTACAAACCAACGCGACCTGATTGGCGTCAGCGGCTGCAAGCGAAGCAAATGGACGCGTACCTTTCGGTGGGAGGTTTGGAGGTGGGACTTGTCCTGGGGGGTCCTGTCATAACCCGGACTCTGTAGATAGCTGGTTTATCACGATTCGTTCAGCTGCGATTTATATACTACGCACGCATTGCGTGAAAGCTGTTTTCATGTCGCCCATTAGTCAAGTGGGCTGATGAAATCGACGATGATTGGCGCAGAGCGTTCGACGGTTCGCTGTGTAATCTTTGTACGCACATTGCGTTTTATGAAGTTGGTTACAAGGTCCGCCCGCAGGTTCGCCTTCATTGTGGTTTACACGGAAAAACAACGTATCGCATGGAGTTATTTTCGCGCTTTAAATACCTGACAAAAAGTGGTCGATGCCACGCTCCATAAACATACGCCTTCACGTTGAGTTTTCGACGTTCGATGCGTGATGATGTTCGCGTCATCATGACGAAGCAGTGGTTTGAAACGTCGTTCCAGTTGAATTCATTTTTTTCCATTTTATCTAAAGGGTGTTACTCACTGAGTTAAGAAATGAGTCAAATGATAGTTGTTCAGTGACTGTATCGTTTTCGGTGAAGTTCCTTATTGAATCAAGATCAAATGTCGTTCAGTATGTCATTCACGTCTCAGATGTTAAGGGAAACGACGGTGTGCAGTGGCAAAGGCAAACGTACTCTCTTTGAATGCAAAAAAAATTCCCGTTGGTGTTAACTCCCTTCAGAACGGAATTCACCCCAGTTTGCTTCGACACAACCATCTGAGATACGCGTAGCAAGTGGTATTCTGGTACAGCATGACGCTTTACTCTCGCCGCACCGAAATGGACAGCGCGTACGCTGTGTTGCCTGACACAAGTGTGTTGATTTTTCATTACTGGCTGTCTTGACCCATATTGAACTGAACTACGGCGACTGCGCTGGAAATGTGCGAATGATATTAGCGTTGTTACAGTTGTCACAAACCTTTAAGATTTCAGGGAATATAGCAGCTACATGAAAAGTTGTTTTTTGTTTATCCTGACCAAATGAGCCTAGTGTCTTTGTTCCTGTGAACACGTGGAACCACGGCTTTATCAACCTTGCTAGAGAACAAACTATTCTGTGCACCATTCACCCGCTTTAGGAATCTAAAGTGACTTTGTATGATCGTTAATGACAGGGTGGCATGGTGCCTGATCACATGGTTCTCGTTATATGTGTTTTTTGCAGTTTTCAGGTGAAAAAAGCGTTTTTTCGCGTTCGTACTCATGCTTACCTTGGTACCCTTTTTGTTTAAGCC